AGTCCATGTGCACCACTATAACACACTGCTATGGACTGGGTAGCTTGCAAACAATAGAAATTTATTTCTCACAACTGGGGAGAAATAAATTATTCCTTACATCCTGGTTCCATGGCCATCTCCTCACATGTCCTCCCATGGCACAAAGAGGTAAGGAAGATCCCTGGAGCCTCTTTTAGAAGGACACTAATCCTTTTATGAGGGTTCTGCCTGCATGACCTAAACACTTCCCAAAGGCTCCACCTCCAAATACCACCACCACATTAGGAATTAGATTTCAACACATGAATTTGGGAGGAATACAAATATTCAGTCTATACAGGTGGGAAAATAAAACTATCTGAGATTTAATCAAAATGGAAGGAGTTACATTCCAAGTATGAATAATCATATTTTCCTTTTCATTCTCTCTGGAGCCTTATTTGAAGTATCCTTTACATTTAGTACCTTATGCCTAAGTGGCCACTCCTTTTAGAGTTTGCACCCAACACGTGCTTGTGGTGGCATTACTATACAAGGTGAGGGTCCGCCTGCCAAAAATGTGCAATCCTATAGCAGCTGAAAGGAAAGTGAAACCAAAGTTTCTATGCAATTTCATGGCTTGAAAATAACTTTGATAGAAACATGCATGTTGTTGGTGCCATTTTCAATAAAGGTATGAACGTATAGAACCCAGAATCAAGAGGAAAAAGAAAACAAGCCAAAAGAAAAAAATCTTATCCTTTCTTTATTAGAGGAAGGAAAGTATGATTCTAAATTATCTTTTAACTATTCACCCAGAGGCTCTGTTTTCATAAATCTAAGCTATGTACTCGACAGATGGCTATAATTGAGTCTGATGCTTTTAGAAACAGTTGAAATTCTTCACAGACCCTTTTTATAATCCAAAATGAATGAATCTTTTGGAAGTAGGTCATTATTGCTTTATCCTTACCTCTGATTTAAAAAAAGGCAAAGATGAAAATGTCTCCTCCCAAAGGTTCACCTTTGTTTTTGATTTGAATTTTCAGTTATGTTCAATTTATGTTTTATCATACCCATAAGTTTAAGCCTGCTTCTGTCGACCATTCACCAAAGCTCAGTATAATATTTCTATATCCCGGCCTGCTTGGTGTTAAAACCTGAACCTTTCCATAGAAAGGAAAAGGTAATGGGAAATTATATTTGTCTTTGGCCTTTCAAGTCAAATGGATTATTTCATGTCCTTCATATTTCAGATAAGGTCCAGAACTATGGACAGGATTAAATGTAGTCAACAAAAATCATACAAAGCTACTGGATGATATTTTACAAGTAAATATCATCATGAATTTGTGATGAAATAAAATGCATCTTGAAAAACTACTGGAAGCAATATACCTTAATTGTACTGTTAATATGCAACTTTTTGAGAAAATCAGGAGATAGAGCTAAAATGTAGGCTGGCTTAGTCCTGGTGAGCCTAAATAATCTAAACTATTTCATATCTCCTAGTAGAAAAGTATGAAGGGAATCTGCTTAAGGATGTTTTCATATGTATACATGTATATACACACACATATATATAACATGTATGTGTGTATATATGATAATTAGCAATGTTTTCATATATACATATATGAATTTGCCACAGAAAAGTCATTATGTTTTTTCTATTCAAGTGTAAGAACAAAGGATTTAGAGAACAAAGTAGACATACTGGGAATTTGAGTAATTGCCATCTCTTTTCTCATCCATTACCCCTGTAAATGTTAAAGTCTGTTCTTGGACTTCAAAATCAAGTCTTTCAGTTAAAAAAAAAAGTTCTCTAAACTAGCAAACATCTGATATTCACAGATAATGGGAGTGTATGAGTCTCTTTATGTGGCTCCCTTCTTTATAAGTTATCACCTATTTTCACACCTGTCTCTGCAGCCTACTCAGTTTTTTAAATCTCTTTATAGTTTAAATCTCTTTATAGATGACCTCTTTGTTAATCATTGGGAATATGGTTTTTGTGTACTTTTAGCTAAATCTCATCAAGCATCCTCAAAAGCTACTGTTGACTTAAGTCACATCATACCAATCAAAGTCATTCTTCTATTTAGTACCAAAGGAATAGAGGCCAGTGGATGGGATGTGTATGTATTGATGTGTTTTATGGGTTTTTTTTTCAAAGTCATTAAATAAGAATACATAGAGTTTTCATTTTTTTCCACCTATTTTATTTAGGACTTCCTTTACTAATCGTAACTATGATTACCTATTTTTTGGCAGGGAGAAACTATTAAACAAATAGTGAACTGCTTGATGATATAGATGTTGAAATCAGTGACTATTAAAAAAATAAAATTATAATTGAAATATGTGGAGTTTCCTTTGAAAAGTACGAAGGGAAGCTTAGCTTTAAGTGTCCTGTTCTCGGGATAGAAGTATTTTCTTTTCATTTGAATGTTGTTAGGCTGGGGGATGAGTTAATGGTAGCGTGGAAACTGTAAAATCTAAAGCTAAAATTTTCTTCACTAATTCATTGTAGAGATATTTCATAGGAGGTTATGCAATAGGTATTGTGCAAGCAAGCACCAAAGAAATAACAAACACGACACATAGTACTTGACCTCATGGAGATTCAGAGTTTAAAGAAAAACTATTTATTGAATATGTGATTATAAGGTCAGGGCTTGTTACAAAGGGGCATGTTTGAGGAGCTACAAAAGCATATAGTGAAGGGTCCTGATGTAACTTGAGGACAACAGGGAGCAGCTCCTGGGAAGGTAATGCTCCTGTCAAGAGAATTCCATTAAGTAAGGATGACTGGCTAAAGAGAGAAGGAGATGAGGTAGGAGCAAGGGAGAGTATTTGAAATAAAAGAAGCTACAAGAGCAAAGGCCTGGAGAGGAGAAGAGCTTAAAATAATTGAAAGGAGCCTCACAAGGCTAAAAGTTGGAAAGCAAGGCGATCACGGTCAGGAGAGGGGCTTAGGGAGTCAGGAAGGGACCAGGTCATGGAAGTCTTCTTAAACCTCGTTAAGGGTCTGAAATTTTATTCTAAACACAATGGAAAGAGTTATATAGGCAAGTGGCATGAGTAAATATTGAGGGACAGATGGAAAATGGGTGGAATTGACTGCAGAAGGGATGCAGGGAGATCTGTGAATACAGTGTAGTAAAAATTGGACAAGAGGGATTTTTGACCTAGATTTGGATAATCTTTGAGGGAATGTGGGTCATTTTTGATGACGGAAGCACCCTACAATGGCAAACATCCATACTTGGGTGAGTGACAAAGAAGTTAGTTCTAAAGCAAAAGCTATGTGTTTTTGGAAAATATTTCATGGTAGGTTTTCAAATTATGCATGTAAAATGTTTATTACGTAAATCACAACAAAGCCAAACACATAATGTTTCATCAATAATCATACTGCCTTAACATAACAATATTAAATTTGAGCTTGTTTTTAAATATATGTAGTTATATGTGAAAACACACCAAAGAGAACATGAATTGTGCACACTCAAAAAATGAGACTAGGGTTAAACAGATCAAAAAATGATCTGTTTACTGAAACTGTGTTTCTGTATTATAAAATATCATTTTACAATGTTTTAACAGTGACATATAGAGAGAAATGCACATCAATGTTTTCATTAGACTTTACATTTTGATTTTAATATCAAAATGCAATATTAAATTTTAAATTAAATTTTAATGTGTGAAATACTTTCAATCATATAGGCATACATTGATACATTGACAAGGTCTGTGGATAGCTCTTTCCTATTTATCCAAAAGTATATGACCAATGTTATGATGGGTTTACGGTGGTAAGTATAAAATATCATAAAACTAGCCTAAAACAGCATTTATCCATTATCGTTAATAAAAAAAGTATATCTAATATCTTCCCTAGCAAAATGCTCCGGTCTCTTTTTACTTAAGTAGTCCTAGATTCAATGTTTCTTTGCATTCTGAGTTTACATCTGAACTATGCCAAAATGTCCTAGTTCAAATTTTCATCTTAGTTCATTTAAATGAAATAGAAAAACTCTTCTTCAATACTGAGCACTAAGATGGCGACTGCGATTCTTTCTAAGTGCTTTATAGATCAAGAAAACACTCATATATTTGCAAACATTATTCAAGGTCAATTTAAACAAGAGTTTCTAGCAAATAATTTTTTATTCAAAGAAGCAAGGCTCTCGGTTTAGATCTAAGAATAGGAGGCGTTGTCTGTGGCATATATTTGTTCCTTCAGCTATCACACCTTTTTAAGAATACCTTAATAAAAAGCAAAAGTATGACATACATACAATTTTTTCAAATATAAGCTTCAACTTGTTAAGCTTTAAATGGAATTCGAGGGCACTCTGTAGAGTCACTTTTGTCAAAGCCTTTTCCTCTAATAACATATTTGGATGCTGCAAGATGTATTCTCTTGTGATGTCCAAGTGATTGAGTAAACCGATTTATGTGGAATATACAAGAACTATTTGGACTTTGTGGTTTTCTTAAATGAGGCGAATAAGAATTTCTGTTTTCTGACTAGGAAATAAAGTCTGCTAGCCCTATTTTAGATGCTTCAGTGTGCCAAAGTTGTTATTAAGTCTGGTGTTCATAAATTACTAATCTGGAATAAGAGGTCGAATGTATTTTGAGAACTTAAACCTGTTTCACCTGAACATGTTTAACTAGTTAATAAGAAACATCCAAAAGACAAAACCCTGAGGTCAATGGTCATTTTTTGTAAAGCTATTATATGCTGTTTAAACGGGTTGTTCGGGTCTGTCTATAACATAAGTTTAATAACCTAGCTCAAATGCAGATTTCTAATTTTCAATTAACATAGGAATAATTTTGTTTGCTAAAATAAAATAAATGAATGAATGATAAGTCTGAAACATGAAATGTTCCAGGTAGAACTTTTTAAAATTCCAAATTTCAAAAAATCATGTGGCAACTGTATAGCTCAAGCTTTAAGTATTAACTTTTAACCTTTGACCTTACAGATTTTAACCAATGAAATGTCTCTTTAAACTTTAAAGGAAACAATGATAACGAGCGCCTGGCGATTGCTAGACAGCGAATTCCATATCGACTTGGTCGAGTAGTTGATGAATGGCTACTCGACAAAGGTAAAAAACATTGATTAAAACTTCAAATAAAAAAATAATTTGAACATAACCAAGTAGTACTTCATTGTAACACTAATAAACATAAAAAATAAATTTTCCGTAAAACTAAATTAAAAACAAATTTAAAACAGTAAAATGTAGATAGTAATATTTGCATACCTTGTATAATAATTTCTATACATTTTTAGACGTACAGCTGTTTAATAATCTTACCCAGTTAACTTAAGGTTAAAGGGACTGTTAAATATAATCCACTAACTCAATCTTTGAAGGTACTCACAGCAAGCATTAACCCAAAATGATAAATCATTCATAGATTATATTACATGTTCCAGCCTCTAAATTATTAACTAAAATATATGTAGTTCTATTATCTTTATCATGGTCCTGAAAAAAAAAAAAAAACTCTTTGTTTAAACTCTAGGAATCTTAAATAGCGGGCAATATGGATTGCCAGTCAAAACAAAGTCCCTTTAACGTTTGCAACCTTCTAAGAGCATTTGGGAACAAGCCCTAATTAAAACTGAACTTAACGTTGTGTGCATGCTTTTTATGAGCAGAGAGCAATCTGCTAAAACTGGATACTCAATGTGATGATAATGGGACTGTTGCTAAGGATTGCTGTTTGATGGAAATGTGCCATGATTTCTCCATTGGTTTGTGTACCATTCCTGAAGCCGCTTTTTACATCTGAAGCTATTTTTTTTTTCATTTTGTTTTGTTTCGATAGACTTGCTGAAAGCCAATCAGAAACATATTTTGGAATTTTTTCGTCTCTGACATGCTCAGTATAAACCATGCATTTCTTTTCAGTGTGATTGCCGGAAAAATAGAATAATTCAAAGAACCATGGACTATTGCATTCAAAAACTAAACATGACTACAGAATAGCATGCAGATACATGTGGACATTATGCGAAATATGAAATTTTTATCATCTTTAAAATTAGATTTCAGCTGCTATATGCTAGTTTCTCTCAGTGGTAATTTCAGAAGGACAAATATTTTAAAAATCATAGTTATCTCACATTTCTTTAACAATTTAGACCTTAGAGACCCACCTTATAAGATCTTGAGGTAAAAAGGAAAAGGGATTTACCAAAACTTTATTTGTAATATATATCTTTGATTGGTCTTTTAGCAAAAGCACTACATTTACAATAATTTAAGAGTTGACTAGTATTTACCAACAGTTCTGCATTTCATGGACACCTCATTTATAAGCAATGAATTATGAGCCAAATGCCTCTCTTATAGTTTATTGCTCTCATTATCCACCCCATGAAAGATTTGTTTTATCATCCTTTGTAGATGTAGAGTTCACAATCAACATTTTTGCATGTATGTAATATTATTTTTACAGGGCGTCAGCTCACAATCTTCAATAGCCAAGCAACCATAATAATTGGCGGGAAAGAGCAGGGCCAGCCTTTCCAGGGCCAGCTCTCTGGGCTTTACTACAATGGCTTGAAAGTTCTGAATATGGCAGCCGAAAATGATGCCAACATCGCCATAGTGGGAAATGTGAGACTGGTTGGTGAAGTGCCTTCCTCTATGACAACTGAGTCGACAGCCACTGCCATGCAGTCAGAGATGTCCACGTCGATTATGGAGACCACCACGACCCTGGCTACTAGCACAGCCAGAAGAGGAAAACCCCCCACGAAAGAACCCATTAGCCAGGTGAGTTCGTGGATTTCGTTTCTTCATTTTGGACCTGTGATTATGAAAGTGGGCTTTTCTACACATGTGGTATTGCTACAATTGGCTTTGTTTTTTTCTTAATCTCTGGCACTATAGCTTTCTTTGAGAATTCTTTAACACAGTGCATTCAGTTTGAATATGAAAAGTGTACATTCTGTGGATTAGAGGTCTGTGGATTTTTATAAAAGGCTTTGTTTGGGTTTGTTCGTTGCTAGATGATAGTCTTGATTCAAAAGCTTATGCAGCCTGGGTTGAACGGGACTGTTGCTCAGTACCTAGGATTTTCATTTTTAAGTTAGGCTAACAAGTAAATGAATGAAATTCATTGATTCATTTGACTGATCTTGTTTGTTTCAGCTCCATGCTTCATCAAAATTGAAAAAAAGATCTTAAAAGAGATACTGCAGTACTATTTCTATTGTATTTTGAAGTTTTGCAATTTTGAATGTGTAGGCATGTGGCTTTCTTGGTGAATAATAGGTCCACTCTGTTATTGTGTGTAAGAAAAATGCTTCCTTACTTTTATCTGAGCACAGCAACCCAAAATGTGATATTTACAACCGTCTTGTGCTAAGATATTTTGTGACTGACTGCCCACAACTACAGTTAAGTTCAAAGAGATGATTGTTCAATCTTATACCTAAAATTTTTAAATAGTAGAACGTTTAAGTGTGATATCCATACAGCTTGTAAGTATGTTCATACAACCAAGATATACTTACAGATTGACTACTATGTGTCAGGCACTGGTTTGGGTATCGGTGTTATAGCCATGATAAACACAGGGGAAAAAAATCTTCTATGAAATGTTAGATGCTATGGAAATGTTATTATACGCTATTAGCCCTATTTACACTTAACAGCCTTTGTGCCTATTCAGTTGTCAGTTCTTTAAGAATCGCGTATGTTCCTGGATCCAAATTGTTTCGTTTTATTATTGATAATCAGTGAATGTCTCCAGTAGGTGCCACATACAGTTTTTCCAAATACGTGACCCGTACATTTCTAGAAAACAGCCTTCTAAAGGGGCAGGACTGACCACAACAACAAATGGCTTTTACTTTAAGTATTTGAAACAGACCCGTATCAGAGCTGGAAGGAAAGTAATCAAAGGCAAATTCTGTTTATATCAGCACCCCGAGTCTACTAATTAACATGGATTTCCCATAAAAAGAATACAGATCCTGCTTTTAACTTTGACGAGGAATGGGTGAAAGGAACAGAATAGAAGACAGGATAATGTTCTGGAAGAAGAGAGATGACCAAAATATTGTAAATACTATAAATTCCTAAATGTAATGTTGCATGTTTGACACGTACAGAGGGGCTTGTTCTCCTCTTGTTCCTTTTTTTTCCTGCTCGTATTTGGCAACAAAGTGAAGTGGGCTATCTCACAGGGTTCCGTCCGTCACTATGTACATACTGGTTGCTCTCTACAGGTGCCAGGCACTGTTCTAGCCATGGAGATATGTTGGTGAAAACAAACAGAAACTTCTGCGCTCATGGAATATAATTATAGCAGGAATATTTGCATGGAGTGATCATCTTGTTAATTTTCTCCGTCTTGTTTGAATTTCAAGATTGTCGATAATATCATAGCACTTAGCACCTTCCATAAAGACTTATGACTCTTAGAAAGATTCACCTGTACCCCTATAAGGTAAACCTCAGAAGTAATCCCTCCAAACTCCCTCCCTCCACCCATTACCCCTCCCTTCTCCCTCCCCCCTCCCCATATTCTTAGGCTATTTGGTTATAGCTTTCATATAAAAAAGTTTAAATTAGTTTCATAATAGGGGTGTGTACATTGGATATTTTTTCCTCCATTCTTGTGATACTTTGCTCAGAAGAACATTCTCCAGCTCCATCCATGTGAACATGAAGGATGTAAAGTCTCCATCTTTCTTTATGGCTGCATAGTATTCCATGGTGTACATATACCACAGTTTGTTGATCCATTCATGGATCGATGGGCACTTGGGCTTCTTCCATGACCTGGCAATTATGAATTGGGCTGCAATAAACATTCTGATACAAATATCTTTGTTGTAATGCGATTTTTGGTCATCTGGGAATATACCCAACAAAGGAATTGCAATGTTTTAAAGCAATAACTGAGAAAATGACATGAAGGCTGTGTTGACCAGTTGATGGAAGTATTTCAGATTGCATGTGAAAACCCCACACTGTACCCCAGAAGTGCATTAATGTACATAGTTACTGTTCAATAAAAAAAAGAAAAAAAAAAGAAAAAAAAAAAAAAGACTTATGACTCTAGACAGATTTATGTGACTTTACACAGGTTTATACTTGCTCAGTAGCTCCATTTACCATCCTATCCTAATAGTTCATTAATGATTTGTTATTGTTGTCGATTCACGGTCCATTTTATGATAAGCAAGTTATTAGAGCGAATCTGATACAAGAAAATGAAATTCAAAAGAATTGATAGACTATTTCCTTTATATACGTTATTTATAAGAAGATATTCTAGGCCATCCACATTTAGGAATATTTTTGTAAATATCTGAAATAATCAATATTTTTATTAATAGTCTTATTTTATCACGGTAGAGAGTTATCTAATTTCATATAATGAAATTATGGTTGTTAAAGCTCCTAGGCCAGCCGGATGTGTCCCAAAATAAGAAAAAACTTGTTAGCATTTTATCATGTATTTTTATCAATTAGTAACTGCTATATATTTTTAAAATTTTTTAAATGTGCAAAATAGATGTTTTGTTTAAAAGATAAATATTTGTAAATGCAGAAACAAAAATGTATATATTTTGTAATAATGCAAAAGGAAAACAATGAACTTCTCATTAATTGCTAACAAAGAGTCTGCTTTATTATGAACTGTTAGATATTTAAATATCACAGCAGTTTATGAAAGTAACTGAACTAATCATTAGTGATTACTTGGTCCATTTGAGGAGATACTATTGACTTGAAAGGTTCATTTAAAAAGAGAGATTTTTAATCTTTAAGTTCTTAATAGACCAACAACAATTAAATAATTTGGAACAATACATTACAAATATTCAATTGTGGCAACAGTATTTTAAAGTTAGGCTTAACAGTTCTTAAAAGTTTCTATTCAATGATGTATATAGGATTACAATAATAATACCTGTATTTACTGGGTAAAACCTTTGGAGAAGAAAGTAAATTATTTATTTTAGAGACAGAATCGTCTGCTGCAACTGTTCCTTAACTCTCAACTGAATTTTAAATTGTTCTCTAGATACAGATTATTGATATACATAAAATTTAAAGTGCTTTTTTGTTAGAATTGCTGAAAGTCTAGGGCGTTTACATGTAAGAATGATTAGTAATGCTAATCCAGATAAGATGCAGCATCTTCCTTTGAATCTTATTCACAGTGGCCATATCTTTCTGCTTTCATCAACTGCCTTACTAAATTGTGTTCCAGGAAGGGTCATTTCATTTTTCAATAGGCACCTTGGACTGTTTTCTCAATCAAAGTGTATTTTCCTTAGTGATAACACTGGTCCACTTACGCCACAATGGCAATGTACCTTCAGGTGATTGCATGTTTTAAAACTATGGAAACAGATTTTTGGTCAAGCAGAATTAAATTGGATTCATTTCAAATAGATGAGATGAGGTTTGTTCAGCCATCCTGCAGGGCTAGTAATAGGGGAAAAATGTATTTCAGTTTCACAGATTCACAGAATACAGGGGTGTTCATCAAAATATTCCTCATAAAAATCCTGTTTACATTTTTACTTAAAGGTAATTATGATTTAAAAAGAAAGGAAGTTTCTCTTTTATGATGACCAAGTTTCAGACTGATGTTTGGTTTTGAAAGATATGATTTATATCCTGAAATAATGGGGAAATTTGACAACACTTCTGATTTAATAACTTCTTTTTAATATGACTATAACATATTGGTAGTATATTACATGGATTACATGGAGTGTATAAATCTTGTTTTATTCAGAATATTTAATTTTTGAAAATTTGTAAGACACATCTTAAAAAAGAGAAAGTTTCCATAAAGCTAATCTCAGAAAGCAAAATTTAAAATAATAATTGATGGCATAATGTTCTTTGGGTTCCTGAGAGCTTGTTGGGACAGGGCTAGACTGTCATGCAAGGTTTTTGGCTGCTAAGTGTTCCTTCCTCTTCCAAATAATCTGACGATGTCTGATAGTGTGTATGTGCCTATCCAGAAATGAGCAAAGGTAAGCCAACATGCAAAGGGCAAAAGTCACTTTTTTCGTTTGCCAGTGTCTAGAAAGGAAAGTGGAACTGTGCTGTTTCTTTTAAGATCAGGATTCTGAAATTTCTTCTGGAATATTCTTTGAAGCATATTTTATGATCTTTTCATTTTTTCCTTTGAGAATATTTTACCAGCTTTATACATGGAGAATATTAATTATTTAGTAATTTCTTTACTTAGAGTGTAGTATAACAGCACATAGTCGGGGAGAAGACCTGGTCTCCACTCTCAGGACAGCCACCTATTCATCTCTGACTTTTGCATCATGTACGTGGCCACGTATACCAGTTGGCCTGGATAGTCTTTGTGTGTTCCTGGTGTCCTCATGTAATTAATAACAGTATCCATTCTGACTCTCAAAAGCATCCAGTTTAGGTGTCCAAGTTATCCTGTGCTCTACTTTTAGATCATATACAAAATTTGCCTCTTCAAGAAAATCATGCTTCATGAGAATAATAAACATTAAGCCCTATCCTTCACATTTAGAGCAGAAAGCGACTCTAGTCTCCCAGTTGAGTTTGTAGAATCCCCAAGCTTCATCATCTTTTTCTTTCATCTCATTTCACAGATCATGAGAAAAGTGAGAAAGTGAGGCTTTGAGAGAATCTGGTTTTTGATTGGAGGAATGATAGGGTGCAACTCTTGGGAAGAATTTAAATTAGAAAGAGAGAGAGAATTAGTAATTATGAGGGAAATATATGGAACAGTTCTCTGGTTCCAGCTGGGC